TGTCTTACATAGATAAATGCGGCGGCTCATGTATCGTTTCCATCACTCGCCTCTCGTCGATGTTCTGCAGACAGGCCAGGTGCAACGAAGACGAGGTCAGGGTGAAAGCCTCCCTGTAGCCTGAAATCGTACGTCTAGCTCTGACGTACAAAAGTGAGCGTTCCACTGTGGTCCCGGGCACACGCACAGGATTCTTTGCTTCCTCTTCTTCTGCCTCAGCTTTGCTTCTGAGCTTCAGGATGCTTTTTCAGGCAACCTGTCACCTGCCTGAAGCTGGCGCTCTTCAGACGTCCGTGGCTCTGGGAAGCGCTCCTGAAGCTTCGCCTCTCATTTCACTGCAAGTCCGAGCTCTGCAAATTGCTAGAGAAATGGGCCTGTACCAAAGCATCCACATTGGCTATGCGCCGTTTGCGCTTTTGCTTGTCTTTTATCCGCCAGTACTTCCTGCTGCAGCTGAGGACGGCTTGGGGCTCGCTTGTTCTGCGGATGAAGTGAGTCCTCATGAGCTGATGTCCGTACTTGCATGCGAAGATGCGCCTATGCCAGCCACTGCATGTTTGTGAAGGCAGTAGTAGCACACTCCCGGTTCTTGAAACGCAGCTGAAGCACTTGGCAACATGTAGACGCACTGCCTTGTCGTCTGGGCCATGTATTGCCTGACTCGCTGAAACTAAGCTGTGCTTCAGGAAATCATCAAATACGTGAGCAGTTGTGCCTCTCGCACAAGCTCTTCTTGCGTTTGCTGCCTGAAGCCGTGCTCTTGTGCAGCAACCTTCACACCTATTAAGTGCAGGAAATCAAGGCTTCTGACCACCATAGCTTGTCGAAGGCAGCCCTGCCAGCTCCCTTTTGCGTGAAGAGGGGCGCTACCTTTCTCAGCCATAGGTGGTCAAGCTTATGAGCTCCAGCTTTGCGAGTTCCCAGCTTCTGGCTTGTCCGAGAACACAGAGCTTGGAGTTTCTAAGGCAACCTGCCAGAAAACAGTAAACTCAGCAAACTCAGTACGCAACGTCTGCTATCATTGGCTGTACTGTAAATGAAGGAATTATTCCACCACCCTATACTACCTTGCACCCTGGGGATTACGATATGTCCGGGATCCTGGGTGGAGATTTCCTCCATCCTCAGTAGGAGGATGACAGTACCTGTATGCCTCCGCAGCCCGGATGAGGTGCGCGGCAGCAAATTCCTTGTCAAGCCTTGCGTGTAAAACGAACCAGCATCATGCCCCAAAGTTCTAAAGAATGGTTTGGGGAACGTCTTGACTGAAACTGTGGCTGTAGCTCACTGGCCGCTGCTGGAAGGGATGGCAAAGCCAAATGAAGCCGAACCACCTCAACCAGCTCAGCCACTGCACTGCTGAAACGCAAGAAAAATGCCAAGTTCAGCTTCGGACATGGTGCGGCACAGTGCGCCCCAGCCGGGTCTGCCAACAAGGGATTCATCAGCTTTTAGCTTGCTGGCTCTGTGGCTGTGCAGCGCCTCAAGTGCCCGGAAGAAAGGCAGCTCCTGTGCCGCCTCTGCAGGTTTCGATTTTGTTTAAGTATTTCAGGTTTAAGGTTTGAGGATGTTTGAGGATATTGCGCCGACAATGGAGACTCAAATGGAAAAGACAGTACCAATTCTTGATATCTGCGGCCCACCTCAGGTCCCTCTTCGAATGAGCGCTTGCCATCGGACTCCAAAGCATCAATGTAGGAGTTCAACTCTGCCTCACACCAAGCCACGGTTGCAACACCGTAGTGTCCCCCACTGACACAAACTGAGCGCCGAGCAAGGGATCGTTGATTTATTTGCTTGGCCTGAAAGCACAGATTGCGCCCACAAACTTCTCATTACAAGCCACACACGCTTTGGCTGACTCCGGCCTCAGCTGGGAAGTCTGGAGACAGGTCAGGATGTACAGCCTCAAGCGTCTGTCTGCGAGGTTACTGTTGCGCGCTCACACCTAAGCCAGAATCCACACATCCAGGGCAAGGACTCGAATGAAGTGGCCCAACCTGTCAAAGCCACATGATACCAACAATAGACTCATATTCAAATCATATTGAAGACTACATACCTCTGACCAAGCTGAGCCTCTGGCAGGCGCCTTACACCGGCAACACTCCGTCTTTGCAAGCCACCTGAGATGAATACTTTTCGTAAACTCTGTCAGGGTCGCTTGGCGTTTCACAAGTCGCTTGACATTTTGGCCTGGCAACCGGCCAGCAACTTCGTTGGCCGTAGCTGCCAGCAGGCCATGGCATCGGGCTCAAGCTTGTTGCTGTCTCTGAGTTGTTGAAGATGTTGGACCAGAAAGGATGCAAGGCGGTGACAGCTGCGTTTGCGTCGCAGAAGTGGAGAACAAGCCACATGGCTGCTGATGACTGAAGATGTCGCTCAGGGCACGAGGAGATAACAATGAGTCACTTGCTGCAGCTATGGCAAACGTCTCGCCAAACTGCAATCTGCATCGTGTGAGCAACAAGTATCCGACCTCCGGGCTCTTCAAGAACTCCAACACCTGCTCATGTTACGTGGCTTTCCACACGCCCGACCACCGGTGCAGGGGCCTGATCCACTTGGCCACGAACGCACAGTGCTGCGAGCGCCTATCAAAGATGAGCCACCAGTGGCCATCCGTGATTCAACGCTTCAGCACTGCATCTCACGGAGCTACGGCGAAAATCACGTGGTCTATGACATGTGGGCCATCCTGCCGCTGGCGAGCTTCATCGTCCTGGGGCTTGCCCGCAGATTGCCTGTGACAGGGTATACACATGATCATGTTCTGCAGGCCGAGGCATATGTGTCCGCCATCAACTAATCTCTCCCGCACCCTGGTCGAGGATCCAGAACCATAGCCATTGCCATGGCACACACTCCGCTCAGGGCTGCCAAAGCGCGGCTGCTTGCTTGGCTTACATGTCTCTGGACGTGAGACTCGCGTTCTGTCCCGAAGCTTGGAAAAATATCTTGTGACTCATCCTTTGAAGTTTGCTTGATTAAAAAAAAGGTTGCGCTAAATCCCATGCCTGTGTATGGACTTGCTCTGACATGGCTCTGGCACTGGAAAGGGTTGCAAGTTGACGTCCGCCCCCACTTGCAACATAGGTATAGCAGCAGATAGTAGTGCAAGTGCACAATGACAGCGCGTTTGTTTAGGAAGGCCCGCTTCAGTCAAGACTGGCTCATTTCATCAACGTTGGATCCGGGCCTGAATGGAAGCAATAGAGTGGGACTCAGACAGACAAAGCTCCGGAGTGATTACCGATCTTCCTGTACAGCTTTCTACCTTGGCCTCGCATCTGCGTCACTGTCAAGGCGTGCTTCTTGCCCACGGCGCAGCCGGCGCAGCTTGCTGGCACAGATCTTGCTCAAGCGCATGGGAAGACTCGATCCCGCAGGTGGTGATTCCCTGGTGTACCTGCATCAGCATCTAGCTGCACACAACGCCTAATCTCGGTTATGCTCAAACATAAGCTGCTTTCGCATCACTCTTTTGCTGCTGCATGAAAGTAGAACAGGTGCACGGAGCACGACTACCCGAGCTTGGAAGAGACCTTCTACGTCCAGAGATGGTGCACTGATGGACCAAACAATGTCTATGCGGCTAAAAGACGACTGACTAGTCATCATCACACCTTCGCCTTGATAAGTCTGGAGGTAGCCTCTCTCAGATTGTGTGGCCTTGAAAGCTCCAGTCCTCAGCTTTGCAGAGCTCCCTTCACTCGCGCTTTTGAGTCATGCTGCTTCTTGCATCTTCAAGCTTCAAGCACACAGCTGCAGGTTCCCATTTCCCGTGCCGCTGCAAAGAAAGCGCATATTTTTGTCGGCATCAAAGAAGGTAAAGCGATCCAAGCTTAGCGGAGCCTGTTGTATGTCACGCTCTAAGTTGAATAGCGCGAAAGATTAAACTCAACTCCCAGTCCACATCGTGAAGTTGTGGTGAAACCTTGCTTACCTCTAGTCAAAGAGGTGCCAGTAGCTTCCATCATGCACAGCCTGCTCGACCGCCACGTGGACGCCCTCATAGCACGATCGCTTTGGCGAAGGCTGCTCAACCCTGACAGGGCCGTGGATGGCATGCGGGATCCTGCTCTTGCTCGGGGGCACTTTGTCTTGCACTTCCGGGCCTCAAAGTCGACAATGCCCTCTGCAAAACCTGTTGCCAAGAGCATGAGGGGTAACCAAAGCTCGAAGACTGAAGTGCTCACAAGGCAGATGCCTTCAAATCTCGACGGTGCTCCTCCACACTGGACCCGAGGGATGGAAGTGTGGCATCGAGCAGCTCCTGGGAAAGACACAATTACTGAAGCTGAGATGTACTGACTCTGAACCAGGTTCACCTACCGCTATCGGGCTTGCATACCCGGACATGAAGTACCAAGCATCGAAAAACTGGGTCCGCTTCTCCCTGACGCCGATAGGTGTAGTCCGCGTCAGGTGCAGCAGCAAGGCAGCTGGCAGATCAGCATCGTCACCTGAACGGATGAGGGTATGCACGGAGCAAAACAGAAGGAAAGGCCGCCGGCAACGAGCCTGCCCAGCCAGTCAGTGTCAAGAACTCCTTGCCAGTGTCCAGCACTCGCAAGGAGATGTCATGACCTGTCGGCACCTCATTAGCACCAAGAGGCGCAGCCAAGGGAGCAAAAGCCATCCGTATACGCAAATGGTGAAGCTGCTGTAGCCAGGCCACGAAAGGCTCAAACTGGATAGAGTGACCGAGAAACGCATCCCAGCCATTCTGATCGTGCCCGAAAGGGTAGACATGCATCCACCTGATGTAGCTCAGCACCCAGCGGAGAGTTCGGTCGGAGGCCTCCGCCAATGCAATCACAAAGAAAGTCTGCAATGAAGCGAAAGCAGCTTCACGTATACTGCAGCGGAGTCCAGCACCCACCTTGACAAAAATGACCCCATGGTTCAGACAACTCCTTAGGCTGAGCAAAACGATCAATGATTCATGATTCCGATCATCACGCGAGCCACTGCATTTCAGACCGAAATCCTCCAAGTTTGTAGCAAGTCTCTCATCGAAGTGATCAGTTGTCAGCACATCCGCAGTCTCCGCTAGTTGCAAAAGGCGAGCCGTTGGATTCTGTGCAATGAAGATATCAATATCCAACCTCAACAGAAGCACTCGCTCATTGTAACATTAGGCCTCAAACCTGGGCACGGGCATCCTCATCACATAAAGCCTTTCTATGAACATCCTGCAAGGCTCCATCAGCAATGAACGCCTCTCAAGCTGCCGAGATGCCACGCATAGCTCACACCGAGAGAAAGCAGCAGTGGCAATAACACAAACTTTGCCTCAGTTTTGGTGGTGTTCCGAGCGTGCAAGGTTCAGGTCCTCAAGATACAAGGCTGCATCTTGGGCACGGCAAAATGTGTAAAACATTGTAAAACTAAAGCCTTGAAAGCCACGGTTAATCAGGTTGGTGGTCTCTGTATCTATTCCCTATAGAACCTGATGTAGCCATCTTTACCAGACTAAGGATACTTATCTTCCCCTGTGAAACAGAGTTCCTATTGAACAAGACAACCATTGCATGTCAGCGAGGGTGCATAGTTGTTCACATCGTAGGGTCGCACAACTTTGGAGAAACTGCGAAAACAGAGCAGTCTCTGATATGCATCTCCTCGATTCTGCCAAATTCTCGACACCTGTGTACCTGATTCATGCCATCACTTTGGTGCAATGAGCATCTGATCAACATCCTGCCCATACTGAAATCGTCACTGCATCCCAGCAGCAATCATGCAAGTAGTCTGGGTCTGGACTAGCAAAGATGAGGCGGGGCAGGCCGACGACCAGAGCTCTATCCAGGAAACGTGACACCCACGTGTTGTTCCCCAAGTTTCCGAAGAACATCGTCATGAAAACAACCTTGTCTGCAAAAAACGTCCAGTAGAAACTAGAAACTGGAGCATCTGTTGAACGCACTAGCGGCACTAGCGGAAAGGCGCCTGCGGTATATCTTCTGGTGCCTCGAGGAGCCAACTTGCAATCTGCCGCCATATCTGGCTGACCTAGATTCTATCCCCCACATCAGCCAATGTCTTGACACCCCCAACCGAGATCTCTGATGATCTCTGCATGCCTCACTTTGCATCTTTGGTCCAAGTTGCTTCAGGGGTTATGGATCCGAACGACCTCTGCCACACCAGCATCTGCTGCAACAATCAACATGAATGCTTCCTCAGAGTATGGCGATGTCTTTTGCCAAAGGCTTCTTTGAAGACTTCTTTGCGCCGCTACGGCCTGTCAAGCCGAGTGAGATGGATTAGGTCTTCGGAGCTTCGCAAATAACATCACTGGCCTCCAAGATATCTGGCGCACCTGTACAGGCGCAGGGGACGAAGACAAAGGCAGCAGTCAGCCAGCAGCTCAGTAAAGGCACACCTGAACTTTGCGATAAATCAGCCGCTGCCGAAACTACAGCCGTCACATCCGACACCTGCACCTACATGATGGATTTTGTTTCAGGGGTGCCATGCCAAACCATGGCTCGAAAATATGGCATGCTCCGGTCCCTGGGTTCCCGCCTGTGCGGCCGGATAAAGCCCGTGGGAGCGCCACGTAGTCAAACCCGTTGCTGCAAGCATGGCCAGCGCTGGCCATGCGGTCTGAAACATCCTTGCCGGGAATGACAGCCTACCCTGACTACCCGACTCCATGCACTCAGACTTGCCCTTGTTCCGTCCAGCCTTTGCAGTCCTGCGGCCGCGAGGGTCTTTGCAAGGCTCGACATTCGGCTTGGATGAAGAGGATCCTTGTCTGGCGGAGTTGTCGGCCCCAAGAGCCTCCAAGGGTTCGAACATCTTATCATTACAGTCAGTAATGAAGCCCAACTGCCTCAAAAACAGAAGTAGCACTTCTTTGGTCGCCACTTCTGCCGCGCAAGTGGGAGGTGATCTGGATGACCCGCGGCCGAATGATCGCACTTGTGGAAATGCCTCAGCAAGTTCACCCAAGCCAGCTGTAGCCGTAGCTAGCGACGGATGAATGAACATCACCTTCGCCCAGCCTTGTACAACTGCCACACAGCTGGGATGGCCGCCATGGCAAAGTAGTCAATTCGCCCATCAAAAATCAGAGCAGCCCCTCCAGATCCAGGCAAGAGCAAGGCCAAGGTCTTGTCCTGCATCGAGATGGCCACCAGGGGTTTGGGCTGAGCATCTGTTGGCACAGGCTTGCAACTCTGAGGTCCGAACGCCGGCAACGTGCAGAGCAGCATTGAATTCATTCAGGCTTGAAACAGAACAGCGAGTGCCACGCACCTTGGAGAAGGCAGGCAGAAGTTCTGACTCAAACAGGTCCTTGCATTGGATGAAGCACCTGCTGCTGAAGGCTGCTGCGGCGAGTGCAGTTTAAGGACCATTTGGCCAACCTCACGCAAGCTCAGCAAAGCTCGAGCCAAAATGCAGCCATTTTTTGCCTAGTGACAGGCCAGCCACAGGCCATGCAGATGTGCCGAGCAGCCACGGACTGCCCTCGCTGCTGGGAACCTAGAGCAGTGTACAGGCCCGTGCGCAAAGCCAGTGGCCTGTGGAGTGCCAGACCTCGCCGAAGCCACGGCGCGAACTTGCCTTCGGTCAGGGAAGCGCTGAAGACTTAGCAAAGCAGCGTCCTGCTATTGGCAAGCTCAGGCCCTGCCTTCAAAGCCCGCTGCCACAATGTCTCGGCAATGTTCACTTCTTGAGTGTTGGTCGCTCCGCAATCAGAATTGCAAACGAGCGCCTGGACCAACAGCAGGGCACAAGATTGAAGCAAATTGAGGGGCAACTGTGAGGCAGCGACCAGAACGGCGGCTGTCAGAGACCCCAAAGGACATTCTTCTGAAGCCACATCTGCGCGCTGCAGCACGTGGCCCACCTCAAGTTTAGCTGGACACTATGGCACCAGCAGAAATCTGACAGTCAACTGCCTGGCCTCTCCGGTCCAGCTTGGAATTGGCGTACTGTGCCTCTTGAAATGCCACTCCATAAATCCAGACATGCAGCTGCCAAGCCTGTAGGACAACGCGGCCGGTCGAGCAACTTTTTGCGGGCACAGGTCGACTGGCCTTGCATTGCAAAGGCAATCTATAAACCTCCTGGCAACAGGTAGCATTCCTGTTTAGATAGAGGTTTCAATGCTGACTGCTCCAGTCACAAACGCTAGATCTTGCCGGGGAGGTACGCAGGCGTGTTCAGCGCCCATGCGCCATTGAACTTGACAGCCAATTGCTGGAGTTCTGGCCAGTCGACGACCGAGCTTTGAATACTTCCACAGTCCATATCCTCAAAGCTCCACAGAAGGCATTAGCTCTTATAAGCACTTAAGTCTGGTCAACCTACAGCATCATGGTCCGCAAGTTTGTGGCCTCCAGCGTCCATGATCGCAGCTCCTCCAGGATCCAAGGCTCCTGCGCTAAAGAATGGAAGGATGCATTCGTTCACAAAGGGCTGAGGCTTTTCTGCATGCACTCCTGGCTTGCTACATAACCGAACAGGAAGCAGCAGGTGAGGACTGGCTTCACCATCGACACAGGCGCTCGCGGCGCCCATGGTAGATCAAGTCTTACCCACAACCATCCCGACTGCAGTTGCGGAAGGCCAATTTTGCGCCTACTGAATGGGCGTCTTATCCAAAGTCACCAAAGGCGTGATTACACATGGCTATAAACATGTATGAAGCCTGCAACTTGGCAGCGGCCTTGAGTCACAAGAATGTACAAATTTACCAACGGCGATGCTTGCACAACATATCTCCACGGATGCAGGGCATTTCTGTACCAGCCGGGAAGTAGCCAAGGTCGTAGCATCGCACTTGGATTCTTCGAGCATCTTCCAAAAAGTGGACTCCCACCTAATGCACGAAGCAAGCAAGCTCAGGTAGAAGAATCTAAACAGAGTCATCAAATCTTGTGAGGGCATGGCTCACCAGTCTCTTCGTTCTTCTCCTTGATCCACAGAGCCACCTCAAGGCAAGATACCGCCTATCTTCTACCTATCAACTCATGGCCTCCAAGCCGTTCTGTAACTCACAAGGCCACACGAAGGCATGATAGCCAGCCTGGCCTGCATCATTCGGCGCGGAATGTCCCAGTCACTCCACAGGGACTCCACCTGTGCTAGGCTGCTGACCGCAGTCCAGCACCCTTGTGTTCTCAAGTGAATGAAGACAATCATGACCAGTATGTATTTGCTTCTTTTGCTGCCTGCTGCTTAGAAGTTTCTACCTATTTGTCTAAGTAGTGCTGGTGATTCCAATGCTCGGGTCTCTCTTGGGCAGGCACGGTCTCATCATCATCGCGTGGACGGGATGTCTTGTTGAAGAGAGGTCCCCATGCGTCCTTGTCCTTGCACACCAGCTCAATCCTGGCAAGTGTTCCGTGGTCACATCAACAGCCAAAACGAAACGAAAATGTGCCAGGAAATCTGCTCCAGGGAATACTCTGGCTTCCACTCCTGATCAAGCTTGTTGTGCGTTGCAAGGTTTCTTTACAGCAAATGTGAAAACAAGTGTTCCAAAGCTGGCAGACACAACTATACAATCTGGCCTGCACCTTCTGCCGAATCTCGCCGACTGTGGTCTCTGCTGTGACCGGCACGGCGAACATACCCAAGGTGGTGAGGACCTTGACCTGCACCCGAACGCACGAAATTGGAGTACATGCTCATTGCTCAGCTTTGCTGGCCTCTGGCACGTGGTCTTGATCCCTCTCCGCAATCTCAGCAGCGCCCTTCTTGATGAGGCCACCCTGTCATCGATGAATTTCCCTACTACTTGAATCTGGAATTGACCTCTTCTGCAAATGCACATCCTAACTTGGCATTGCCTACACGGCCGAGACCCAGCATGTCAAAATTGTTGCGCCCTCCCAGAACCAACTCCCAACCCATCAACTGCCAAAGCCCCGAAACCATAGATTTCTAGCTTGGCATTTCAGCAAATCAGCATCCATCGCGATTGCTAGAAGACCTCCAAAACAAGCAAGTACAGCATTCGGCGCATGCTTTTAGATTTATTGAAACGCGAGGCTCAGCGTGGCCCAAGGCTCACAAAAGCTGGTGTGCACTGACGCTGCAACGTCGCAAACTTTGGCGATGCTTGATCGGCTTTATCGAAGTTGCTGAAAGTGGGAGCAGTTCTGTATTTGCTCTGATGAACACAATTCAATGAGACGTCACTCACTCTGTGGAAGTCAACTATGTGAATGTGCAATTGCTCCGGCATCCGCACGCGTGGGTCTGTGGGACCACAAGTGGAGAAACACAGCTCAGCCATGCAAGTGTTTTTGTGGTGCCTTAAATCTTCCAAAGGCTCATCATGTTTCGTGCGTGATGGGGCATGACACCAACATGTTCGCCATCGCGTGAAATGCGATTTAGCATAGCTGTGCTTTATCCATGCTTAGGCCACACTGCAAGAACCCACTGCCACTGCAAGCACTACATTCGAATCCTCGTGCCACAAAATCTGATTACAGATTAGGCCTTCTCATCCCAGATCTCACGATCCGGCCTGAGTAAGGGGGAAAACTCAAGGTGTCTTCGGAGCATTTCGACCAAACTCCGCAGCTTTTACGTAAGAACAGGGCGCGGTGTTCTCAGTGAAGATAACCTCCTGTCCCTCCTCCTCAGCCATGGCTCTGTCCTGGGGCTTGTTCCACTGGGCACTAGCATCCGGGTTCACACAGACAGAAACTAGCTATGCTTGGCTAGACACGCAAAGCAAACCATATCATTGGGGCCCGTGCAAGTTGGACACGGGGGTACTGGCGGAAGGCTGTGAGCTTGAGCCCCTTTGAAGGCTGCGGCGATCGAGTCCATTTTGCATAGCCCAGCTTTGGGAACTTTGCGCGCTGATTCCGGAGCAACAGCTGTTGCATGGCCTGACGAGGTTCGCTGGCTTCCCAGAGCATGCCAGTTGCCAAATGGGACCAGCCGTTCAGCCCTGATCCACCAAACTTCGACGGTCCAAAAAAACACCTGCAAGGCTGCAGAGCCTCCAAGTCGTCAGCTGCCGTCCACGGCCTCACATCTGTTCCACCACTTTTGAGGGTGACCGGGCTCTACAGCCTACAGCCCTGCCTGCTACTTCCAGGGCTTGTTGAAGTTGCCAAGCTCAGTACAGCTACTAAAAGAAGCTCTGTGCTGCAGCTTTGGCCTGGGCCAAGCTTCCATATGCGATGCGGTCACGACAAAACAGTTGCTTCAAATGTGTCACAGTAAACTGCAGTTACGAATTTAATGCTGGATCATTGCTGCGGCTGAATGCTTAGACGGTGACTTGAGGAACTGTTGCCTTCGCAAACGCGGGAGCTGAGAGCGCGCCTCCTGACCGCTAGAATCTTGCTGCTCGAATCTGGCTGGCTTTGCTGGAAAAACTACAGGTGGCTTCTGGCAATGGATGCCTCCGAAGTTTGAACTCTCCAGTCCTGGACTTGGCAAAGCCTTCGGAGCAGCCTGCTGGAATCAAAGCTTGCTTGCACTGCTACGCCCCCCAAGCAATATTCCAGAAACCACACAAGCTCCTTCACGGGCGATAGGTCCTTGGACGGAGACTGTGATGTGGAGGGGGTCTCATCACTGTCACTCGTCGCACCATCCTCTCAAATCAAGGGCAAGAACTTGCTGCCATTTATGCAAAGGACTCGCTCAGGCTGCACATGAGTCATGAGGCTCCTGAACCGGTGGGATGAAGGCTCGCCGCTTCAATTTTTGCAGAGGCCTTAAGCAATGTTGCCTTCCCCAAAGCTGCCGCTGCTTGGAAGTGGTACATACATCTCAGGACCACACCCAGTGAAGCCTAAAGGGAGAGCCTCCGCACGAAAGTGATAAACTTCTAAAAGCAAAGGATATCACAGCCCTCAAGCCCAGAGGGCACACAATTCCAACCATCCACTTTGCATTTCTCCGCCTCAGGCAGGTCCTCCAGGTCGACGTCCGCTGTTCTCGCTGCTGCTGGAAAGCCGGCCACGCGTCGGCCTAGACGTGCCAACATCTTACGGAGTAAAACCGGATGGATCTTGGTGGCGTGACATGTCTGCCAACTGGGGTCTGCGCTGAAGTCTTCCAAGTTGGCCTTCCGCGTTTCAGCCGGTTTCGCACTTGCCGCATGAATTACAGCCAGCTCCTATATCCCGCCATATTGTCAGAATCGCATGGGCTTCACAAATGCCGTGCTCGCAATCATGGGACGACAGTGAGCTCAGAGCACCTGTGCAAAGCCTCCTGGCTGGCCGTCCAACGATCGCGCAGCCTGCAAGGGCTGCTGCACGCATTAAACTGCAGGTTGATGCTTTGCAAACGTAAATCCAATGATCTGAGGGCCTCCAAATGCTGAAGGGCTGCGGACATGTGTTTCTTCGCCTGAATGCGGCAAAGGTGAACGGCCGATCGTCCCTACCAGACCAAGACCCGCGTACTTTGCCTCCTGAAGAGCCTCCAAATGCTCCAGCAAGGCCTGATGCAGCAAATTGCAAGGCAATTCCTTTAAGGCATGCAGCTGCAAACGGAACTGGTCGCAAGGCGCTTCAACCCTCACTGATGGCCTCGTGGGTTGGGCTAGTCGAGTCCAGCAAGCACACAACACGGGGCCTGATGAACATTCCAAGGCACGCAGAATCTGCGAGCAACGTGGCAGGCTCACCTGGAACTTGCAATTGTGAAGGGAGCCTGCTCAAGCTCACACTCCTTCAGCAGCGGAACCTCAAAATCAAAACAGCGTCAGAGCAAAAGCCGCTGCAGCATCTGCTCCACCTCGTCTTGGGAGCAGCTCATCAGAACGAAGTCCACGTTCTTGGCCGACGCCTTGTTGTCCTGAGTAGGCTGAACCCTATTGCGACCCTCCTGCCTGCAGCATTCGAGGCCACGACCAAGACCAGCGATTGAAACATTTGTGGGGTAGCCTGAGCTTATCTGAGCTTCCATACGCGTGGCACAGGGTTATTGCTTTGAATGGAAGGAGTGCATGCTCAGGCGCGCTCCATCAACAGCCGGGGCAGTTCTCTTCCACAAACCTCAGATGGAGATCCCCTTCACACGGGCAAACTTCTCTCGCAGCAAGCTAGTCCAGCCAGGCCTTACCGATGGACTCCTGCCAACGACTTGGCCTGGAAGTCATGCCATCCGAAAGCGTCATGCGCCTCGTCTACACTGAGCAACCGGCTCTTGTGGCGAGAATCTGGTGACAGAGTATCCCGGCGATGCTGACTGTAGCCACAACCTGCTGCTCTGCTCAAGTTGAGCAGCATCTACTTGAAAGTTCAGCATCGCGAGAAGAAAGAACTGTTGTTTGGACACATCTACCGAGCCCCCCGCTGAACCGCGTCCAGTTCCCTGTCTTGGGCCAGCAGCAGAACCTTCTAAGCCGAGACGTTCCTTCAGAGTTCTGCAAATGCCATTCATGCCGGCTGAACCGGTGCTCCACGATTACCTCCAGCGACGGCTGCTTGGAGCAACAGCCGCCTGCAGTCTCCAAAATTCAACAGAAACATCTTCAAGAATTTCAATCCTCAAAGGCAGCCCCGCCCCGCCAAGGCTGGCCGCGCACAACCTGGCGGGAGCACCTTGGGACCATGCGAGACCATGCAAACTGCATCACTGCATCACTCATTCTTTGGAAAGCCATGTTTGACAATGTTTCAGCGCTCGACGCAAAGGGCAGCACCCGCAGCAACAGCATTGGCCACTTCGGTGTGCAGAAATGCCACCTCCCAGCGTCCCCAGCATCCCAGCAAGGAGAACATTCTCATGTAGGACGAAATGTTCCGACATCCTCTGAAGGCCTCGTTTGGGTGCGGAAGCTTTCGAGCTGCGCTGCCCGGAGCCACCGTGAAGCGGCCGGGCAACCTGATGCTCGAAAGACGACTTAGACTTTGAGGCTCCTTTGAAGGCTGCAGGCTCCCACGGAAAGCGAGATGCATCTTTAACACCTGTCAATGCCATGACCTGAGAACTCCTCCAAAGCCCCTGCACAAACTTGCTTACATTGCCAACTTAGCTCAAGTCCCCTGGCGTCATTCCTTCGTCTATCACTTTTGCAATCTCGATGCTGCGGCCTCAGCTGTGACCCTGACAACACATTCCCCTTGGCCGCAGTTGGGCCCTTTGAGGCCCCTACCCTCCGAGGCAACCGGGACGGCCACCACACGAAAACGCCCGCGGCAGCACGGACATGCATAAACCTCTCATGAGCCAGTCTGCCAACTGAGACGACAATGACAAGCGGTGTCTAGAATCTAAGCGTGCTTCCCTTATTTCGCAAGTGATGCGCCTCCGTGTAACGCGCGCGCTCCCATTTCTTCAATTGGCGGTGACGCTTTTCACTCCACGCCAACCTGAACTCAAGTGGGCCTCTGCGCCCCTTCAAAGAAGCAAGGTCCAGGAAAGGTCTGATGCACATTGCAATCGGGTGTATCCGCCAACGTTTGTGGGCAAACATTCTAAGCCAGCCTGAACCCAATGCCTCCATTTAGCTGCTTGTGAAGCCCCTGCTGCCACCCTCTCTTCGCAGTATGAAATGATATTGCCTGTTATGGCCGATGTGATACAATAACGCGGTCAGTGAGCCAACTGTCTGGGCTGCACATGGTGACACCACTCGCTCTGTGGCATTCAATTCCCGGGCATTCTAGATTCGAGTCAAATGACAAAGCAAAATAGAACAAAACAGATCTCACCCCAAAAAACAGATCAATCAGACCGCAGCAGTCAAAGGAGTGAGCACGCGTGTTCTTGAAGCTACCGCTTACCCTTCTGCTGCAGTCTGAGAAGCTAGCAAACCGCGTCTGAACTCTTCTCTTGTCAGGACCGGGTCCTCCTGAATGCCAATGCACGGCCAAGAAGTCACAAAAACCACATATGTGCGAGGACTCTCCTCTTCTTTGGCTTTAGCCAGCACTTTCTTGGGTCGTGTACCGGCTAGTGCACGCACCTGCTGCTGTGAGCACGTGTCAGTTGCAAATATCGTGACGGCAACCTTCTTCAAAGCATCCAGTCCAAATGCTGCGGGCGGAGGAGGCCTGGCACCACATCTTGCTTTTCGTCCCAAAAAATGAAGAAATGTGAGGGCCAAGCACACCATCCTGCTGTTGCCAAAGCTCAGCACAAAATCGCGACATGTCTTCGGCTGTCCAGTAGTCCTCGGAGACAAGAATGGCAAGCGCCACCCTTGTTTGGTTGGATGACCATGATTCTCAGGCCTTCTTGCCAACGTCGAATCTCTCAAAAAGCTTCGACAAAGTTGCCTGACGCATGGAGACCCCGACATCGTGTTCTGACAAGCAGTTCTATCATGATATTGCCTTGTTGGACATAGTCTGGACCAGATCAGACAAAAGAGCCTGGCAAAGCAGCCGAAAATCTTGCAATATCCACGCAAACTGCAACCTGTCGCCTCAGAGCGTTTGCCGTCAACTTGCTTTCGAGCTTGGTAGGCACCTCAAGAATCGCAGAACTATTCACATGACCCCTGGTTTCACGTCTTATCCAGGCTTCAAGCGAAAGTGACGCTGGACCGTAATGGCAGCCTTCGCTTCTTCACTGTCCTGGAAAAAAGGAATTTTACAACGCTGAGTGAAGTTCGTACAAACTGCAGCTCAAAATCCTCTTGCTTTGGCGGTGCGCTTGTGACCTGGCTCTCAAAAACCCAATCAAAAGCCCACGCGTGTATGGCCACTCACCTGGCGCTCGGCGATCCAGTCCTCCAACCATAATCGCCAGTGTCCAGCATATGCATCCAACAACGCGTCGTATGCCTGGCAAGCTCACCCAAAGCTTCCCTAGAAAAACACTTGCAAAACGAACAAAGGCGCCGGAGCCGCTGAATCCGAAAGCTCACAGGCCATACCGATCTTTACAGAATCGGCACGCGCGTTGTCCACAGAGGCCTGTCATTCTGCAAGCAGGAATCTTGCAAAACTAGCCTTCACTCAACTAAAGACGGCGCCTGCCAAACTGCCTTCAAAAAGGAAGGTGGAGGGGGCAAATAACCAGAATCCTCTTCGCCAGTGCTGATCATGCAAACAGCAAGTGCGGAAAAACTTGTGACGAAAAACCGTGTGACTTGTGCTCAGGCTTGTCCTCTGCCAAACTATTGCAAAAATCATGGAACTGGTCAAAGCCAACTTTGGCGTCATCCTGTCAACGTGGGATGAGGAACAGTGGGAATCCGCCAAACAAAAGCTGAGGAGGTCCTTCCGCAACTCATGCGTAAGTCGATGACCTTGCCAACATCGATATAGTGGCACAATCAGTGGTTTCATGAGCAGTGAACCTATGCCAAGCTCAGGACTCGGTGGCTGGGTTGATTTTCCACCACTTTTGGCTAGCCACCATTGCTCAAACCATCGCTCTCTTTGCACCAAATATACCTGTCCATAGGCAACTGGTCGTCCCAACTCTACTCTGCACCTACAGTAACGGCGCACTCGGAAACCGGCAACGAAACGCCCTTCTGTCAATGAATCGAGTCCAGGGGCCCAGGCCTTGCGTTTTTGCATGCTGAAGTAAATTCGTGTGCAACAACGTGAATGCCCGCCTGAAATAAGTGGTAAGAGAAACCTTCAGGGAGCAAACCTTCTTCTGATGCCTGGGAACAGCAAAGTTACCAGCAAGACAAAACCTCGCCATCACGTCGACAAGAAGCCTGCAAAAGCTGCTCCAGCTCCACCGGCCTTGCACTGGTAAAGTTCAGGAAATGTGACAAACACATGATGTTTCTCTTGAGAACTGCACGAAAGTCGCCAGCCTCTCTCTTCCTTCCACACAAGGTAAACTCAGCGCAAGCTTCTGAAAGTTGTGGCTGCCACCTCATGCGCAAAGTGATGGAAAACACGTCGTATGTCCTGGCGTGGATTCGCGATGTAGCAACATTGTTGCCAAAGTGGATCAAGCTACAACATTCATATGGGAAACTTCCCAGCAGCAACATCAAGCAGGCTTGGAATCTTTTGGTGTGGCACGTTTTGTCATTACAGCATTGATCCAAGTTTGGATTGCCCTTTGTGGAAAAGAGTCTTGGAAACCAAGTTGTTGCAATCCAATGACAAGCAGCAACGCTATTTGGTTATCGTGTCCAAATTGTTGTTTCCTAATTGTGACAACAGAATCCTTGTCACTGCAGGTGACACTGAACAGCCAGATTGGAATTATGCGTGCACATTAGCATGTCGGATCCACGTTGACTTGCGAGCTGATGATGGGTTTGAAGGATCCATAACGCAGTAGCACTGACCATCTTTTGTTGTTGGTCTTTGGGCACCTCGTCCTCTTCTTCCAAAGCGTCTAGTATCGAAATGATTCGAAATGCTTCTTCGTTATACTCTTCGTTATACGGGTACTGCAAATTTCTGAGAGACCTGCACATCCCAGGTACAAATTAAAGACAAAATGCTACGCAAGATTCCTCAACGTGCAAGCAGGTGAATGATCCACAAAAACTCAAAGCCCCGGGTTGCACGTGAAATTTGTTGCAAGTGCATAAGAAAAATGTCCTCCTCAGCATTGCCGCCAGAAGCCAATAGCGACCTCGTAGTTGAATAAAAATTAAGATGTCATTCATTCACCAAATGACTTTCTCACCCATGAGCGCTTGACGAGAAAATGTGCTGCTGTGTTGCATCATACCCTGACAAGCAGCACTAGGTTGTTCGACACTACGCCCGATGTGACAGGACGCAGTTTGCTACATTGAGCACGGCACGTGCGCGCACAAGCGTGATAGACGGGTCATCCAACATACATGCTTGTGCGGTCTGCTTTTGCTCCGGCTCTCGCTTGAAAATCGGATGCTCCTGAACTATCAGCTTGCCACTGCGATGTGGGGATTCATACTTGAGCATGCGCCACTTGAGCCGAAATTTGCAAGATGCAATTTGTTGCCCGTCCTGCCCCCCCCCCCCCAACTTCCCCTGCCACACACAGCATACACAGCGAGGAATCGAATGGCAAACAAAATCTTTTTGCAGGACGCTGAAAGCATGATTCTACCATGCACACCCTGCACCCAGCGGATTCCAACCCTTCACAACCTGCCCTCTTGGCATCATTGATGGAATCTTCGCAGGAGCGTGATGCTCTTGCATGCTCTCTGCACACATTGGACACATCCACCTACAACGGCATAGCACAAAAATTGAACGGATTTTAAGCCCCGTGTCTCACGTCTCAAATGGTCGTGAGTCTGAACAGAATTGAACAGAAACTTGTGAAACTGCAGCAATGCATCATGATGCACCTCTAAGCCGCCGCCTCACACATCCTACAGTGGGCACAGCAACACTCGTGCAGCCGGCTTCTTGCAGGGCCACACCAATATGCAAAAAATGAGCTCCGGACTTGTCAAAAATTTCCTGCGACTTGTTCACGTAGAGCTCCGCCCATTTGGGAACCCAATCCTGGCAGGGCAAGTTTTTGCCTGCCTCAAGGCCAGTCGTGGCACGAGGGCACCTCCTTGAGATGTCGGATGAAGTACGTGGTCCCTCCGTACTCAATCTCGTTCAGGAAGAAGGTCCGACCATTTGGGTCCCAGTTTGTGTTCTTGTCATGCAGCTGGCTGTCTGAACAGCCTACGTCGGTGCGAATCAGCGTCATATCAATGGGCTGTCCTGCCAAGTCCACCCGGCTACAACTCAAGTTGCACATCTCAAAGCACAGTGAAGAAGGCTCTGCAACAGTGCAATCCACAATCTGCTGTCCTGATGGCGTACAGAGCTGCGGCAAGACTTTGAGCGCCTGCTCACCTATTCTCTTTGCATTCTCCAGGAATTCAGACGGGATGTCATCTCCTTGTCACATTTCAGAGGTGCAACTTTGTCCAAGGCAGGCTGTTGCAGAGGCTCCTGTGATGATAACTTCCTTGCCATCTTCAGTCGACACTGCTGCCTTGTTGGCAATAGCCTGAGGGCCCGGTAACATCTGCTTTGGCACTTAGCTTCCGACTGAAAGTGCGAAAGGGGGGGGCGTCAGTCTGTGCAGCAAAGAAACATACAGGAACTTCCCATTGAACCAGAACACCCTGCAAGGTAGGTACTTCACTGCCAAAGAGCAAAGACTATCAAGGACTGCACTGACACCATACACACTCTTGCAACCATCCTGGTCTCCCAGTTGCGCGTGAAGCCGTCAACGGCCTCCTGCACTACGTACTCTGGGCCTGCCACGCAGCCAGCATACCGCTGATTACGAGCGACAGGCTGGCACGCAAAGCGCAGCGCAAAAAACATGCAAAGAAGTATACAGAGAGCTAAAAGATGGCAGCCAGGCATTCGGCATAGTCCTTGAAATAGTTCGCAAGGATGCTGGGATCCTTCTCGCAATCCTTCCCGCAACACACCACATCTCCAATCTACCCGATGCAGCAGATGCCAAACACCGTCCTCAACCTTGAGCTTGCAAAAGCCCAGGGAGAAAGCCATCATGGACTGCTTCATTACGAAAGTCTGCCAACCTGAGGCAAGGCCGACTCGGGCACGGCTTGACGCAAAGAGCATGCTATAATACCATCAAAACTACAGAGCACTATGATACAACACCTTACAATGGCAAATTGCAAAAAAGTGGTACAAGACTAGTCCTGAGTATCATTTGACGAATGATTCCGAATGATGCATTGATTACTCCTTCTTGCCTCGGTCTTTGATCTCTGCCAGCAGCTTGGTCGGACTTCGCTTGCCCTTCTTGGCGAAAATCGTCGGGGCCATTGGTATCCCGGCATCCATGCAAGCCTGCGCTTAGGGCTCCATCATGCATGGCCACCTTCAAAGGCCACACTCACTGCCTGCATGTAGCGGGATTTGATGTAGATGAAATCCTTGACAAAGCTCGCTACAGGCCAAAACATTTCAAAGAAATGCTGAAAGGTCTTCATGACTGTCTTTCGTTGGCCCCTCCTGGACTTCCCAGCTTGGCATCAAGTTTCCACATTCCTTGAATGCCTTGGTGACCTCTCTGTACCTTGCAGGAAACTGGACACCGGCAACCGGCAGCCATCAAAACTGGACGAGCAGTTTCACCTCTGCGGGCCCTCGAAAATGGAGTTGATGACATCGTACCCGATGATGTAATTGCACATGTTGGACTTCCTTAAAAGAAGGCAACTGACACAAACCTCCGCTCTCCACGTGGCCTGTCCCGAAAGTTATCAAAGAGTCAAGCGTTTCAGCGTGATCTCTTCTGGGAAGATCATATCAACAACCACATCAGAGCCATACTTCTTGTGGATATACCTCAGTTGCTGCACAAGTATGACACAAGCTGCGAAGACTTGCGCTGCCAAGGGTGTTGCCACGGGATTGCCACATCGGCATGGGCAAATCCTTTGGTACCGCCCTCGCAATTCTTGAGGTACTCCTGAACCATGGGCTGCTGAGACCCATCAGCTCCAAGACTGGCAAAACTGAGGAAGGCTCCTTGCTCTCAGGGTCCACCCGGTACTTGTCCGGCATGTCGTCCATGAACGAGGCATCACCGACATACTTTGGGTCTTCCACCAAGTCCGTGTCCTCCAGCAGAAGGATCAGAGGATAGGTCATTCCAGAGAGGCATGCTTGCTGTGCTGCGTTCCTTGCCGATCAGAAAACCGATCCGAATGGGCTTCTTTGGAGCCACTACCTGGAAATATGCAAAAGCTACCAAGGGACATTCTTAGTCTGGGCTTCGTTGGTTGCCGCGCTATAGGAGGGGTTTTCTCAGTTCTCTGAGTACCGTGGTTCAGTCAGGACTTCAACTTGAAGTGTGGCCTGGTAGCAGGGATCTGTACAACCCGCATCTGCCGAATCGCAAACCACCGGCTGGCCTGCCTTCCGCGCCTTGCTTGCCTTGCTTGCAGCCTTACTTGCTGCAGGCTTGCGCTTGACAGTCGCCTGCAAGCCCAGGATGCGACTTCGAAGGGTGTGAGATCAGGCAGAACGGCCTTCCGGGTGGCAACCTTCTTGGCCTTGGCCTCGTTCCAGGACCCGCAGTAGTCAAAAGAGTTGCTCAAAAGACATGCACCGTTCCAGCACCTTAGCCTGAGCTGGCTTCTTCTTGGGGGCCATGGCAGGCAGAGTAGGCAGGGCTGCTTGCTTTGTATTGCTCGAGTCGAAGAAGCATGCAGTCACATGGAATGAAAGATGACTGACTTAATGCGAGAAAGCAAGTCTTGGCCCTGAAGGTCCGAGCTCTTTTGGCTGCTTAACTCAGAGCTCACTGCGAACACCAGCCGCGGCAAGCCTGTGGCGGGTTGGACTGATTTTTCTGAAGAGATCAAAGAACTGAAGAAAAGTTGTAAGCTGCCAGCAGTCTGTCAACGAGCTCTGACTTCTCCATGCAGCCCTTGCCTCGCTCGAAGGGTGAACCAGAGGATTTCAGGAGCCTCTCCACCATCGCTGAGGGTGAGACATGTTTCGCCCAGATCCGACAGCAAAGACCGAAGCACGGATGCCTGGGCCGATCACATCGGATCACGGTTTCTGCACAGCACAATGTCCACAAACCTTTGCACTCAGCAGCGCGCCGGCTTTGCAGCTAGCAGTTCGGGGGAAGAGCTCCGAACTGCCTTTGAACAACCCCTTGCATCTCTTTAGCACAGAGCATTCCCGCAGCCGCAGCCTGCAGCGCGGCATGCTTCGCATCTTCCCTGCCTTGACCTCCACTCTGGAACTATTTCAAAAACCGTGTGAAAAACGTGCAGGCATTGAATCATGCCTGTCCGCTTGCCGCTGCTACCCTTTTTCGAGCTGCCTGTGCTCCTCTTCACCTGCTTTGAGTTCATCAGCTTTCTGCATCGATTCGAGGATGCTTTGGTGCCGACCTTGCTGCCCTCCGCGCTCCTGGACTGAACAGACTTGCCTTGGGGGCCTGCAGTCTCAAGGCAACAAGAACTACAAGAGCTCCACCCATGAAACCCGAGACGCAGACTTCCTGGCAAAGCACGTGCCTGAAACCAAACGAGTCTTGCACGGACTGGCGCCGGTCTCAAGCTAATGGGATCCCTCGGCCTCAGAGCCAGCCAGCGCGAGTCTCTCCGAGTATCTTTGGCCTCAAATACATGTGCACCAGGCTGAAAGCGTTCGGGACAAGTTCGGCCAGGGTATGCGCATTCCGGTGCGGCCGTTGCTTCGAAATGTGTGGTCAAACGCTCATCCTCCCCCTTGTACCATCTCCAAGATTATGTGCAGCGCTTGAAGCGGAAACCGACAAGACTACAGCCAACCTTGCTAGGATCGTAATCAAACTCCACAACGGTGACCTGATCTGCGAGGGTTGCGGAGCAACTTGCTGTGATGTGGAATTGCACTGGAACCCTACTTCTTGTACAGCACAGTGCGAAGCTATCTCCGGTCATATTCTGTAGCAAGACATGTGATCGTTTCGCTCCGTAGAAACACTAGATACGCAAGCCCTTCATTGCGCTACACACCTTGCAGCAGGATGAAGAGGTAAGCAGGCAGAACCTACTCCATTGTGCTCGTGGCCCCGGCATCACTCGGCCCGTGCGTCTTCCCTGCTGGCCTGGGTTCTCTCATCCCATGACGCACTAGGCACAACACACGCCAAGCTTGGCACGTGCAGAGCTTCTCAAACAGCTTTTTGCTCCCGTGCACCTGGCCAGGACTTTTGGCGCAGGGGCGAGTTTCATTGCTCACTATGACTTCTTGACTGTTCTTCTTGTCGTGAGGAAACAAGTAGAAGGCAATCTATCAACGGAGAGGGGCTCACAAAGGAGCAAAGGCGCGTTCGAGACCGCGTGTCTTAAACTTATCCCATGACTACTTGCGCAAGCCTTCAGCAGCAGGTCAAAAAGCACTGGTCGATCTTGGCCTTGCAAAAAATCAGAAGGTTTCGTGGCACATCAGGTACAATTTAAGTCGCGTCGGCGTGGCTTAGGCGAAGCTGCATCTCCTCTTTCGAAGCCTTTCGGCCTTCCTGCAGGAACCGGGTGCCATATGATGCCATCAAACATTACCCTCTTTCAACAGCCCTGTTTGTGCAGGCTAAATAACGAGGACAGGTCGAGGCACAGTCCAAAAACCAAGCAAGACCCACGGTCCTGCATTCGAGCCACCTGCGAGAGCTACTGCCATTCCTTCCTATTTACTGAGCCTGTTGGTGGGTGTAGTATCTCTTCTTGAGACATTCTACTAGCCTGCACATAAGCATATGCCTGCGGAGGCACACTAATTAGCAACCCGACAGAATAGGATCGTTTCTGTGGTGGTTGGGCCGAATAAGATTTCATTCTTCTGGTCAAACACAACCTATACCCGAAAGGCGGGCATAATCATGCTCTAGGTCGGGGACTATAGTAACCCCAAATGAAATACCAATCAGCAGCCAATTCAAGCCTCAGCTTCAGGGAGGGTGAGGGGCGGGGAACGCATACATTCACTTTTTCCACGCATACATTCACTTGCTTTCCAAGTTCTGGACGGGGATGCAACTCCCTATGAATCTGTGTAAGTCTAGCAGATTAATCATGACTGTGAAGGAGCGAGCAGTTGAAAGTCCGGATAGGACAGACAACCGCCTATCACAAAGGCAGGTCATGCGAGTCGCAAGGATGCTTTTAAACGTCGATTCAAGCCTGGTTGGGGCCGCATACATCCGGCTTGTTTCTGGGCACCATTGCAAGCATTCAAGGCTGAATCACATCATCATCAGATTCAGCACGGCAAAGGAAACGACGAGCGCGCCAAATGTTATAAGTAGCTGGAATTCGCAACTCCGTTGGATTTCATACGGCAAAGATTTTGGCCTGAGCTTCTTCAGAAGCCCAAAAAACAAGTGCGGCTGCCCTGCCACGGACTGCGACGCACCTGCATGTTCTCTGGCAAGGTGTTCAAGTGGTAGTTAAAATTTTGGACGAAGATCTTGTAGCGCCTCGGACAAGACGTCTGATTCTAGCAATGGCGCAGGCAGCGTTGCCTTTGATGCCAAAAGCAATTGAGTTCCACACCCTGTCGGCGGATCATCCGGAAAAACGATGTTCTCCACAGGCCTCTCGGCGCAGTTGCCTGAGCTGGTTGCCTGCCTCTGTTGATGAAACACTTATAAGGAAGAGCACATGCATGGTGCTGCTGTTCTGCCCTTCGTATGAGGACCACACCACTATGTTTGCCTTGCACGCCTGGGTCATGGCAGGCCGACCATGCGTGCTTTGCACAGCCAGAAATTTCAACGCACTCAGGACAGCACACATATCAACGTCTAGCTCGCCACCGCTTGCAGCCTTGTGTCGGTAAGAGATTTCCTGACCGCCTGGCACAGGCACGCATGCCATTCTGATTGCAATGCAACTTTGAAGAAAGACGTTTGCCTGGAAGAAGCATGTGTAAATCTAGATCGTCTGCGGATGTCCAGGAAAGTGATGCCACGAGCACCTGTCTCCAGCTTGGGCCCCTGCTTTCCAAGCCTTTGGAAAGCAAGTTCCGAGGAGATGCTTCAGAAGGGTTTCATGTCATACTTCTCAAGTAAAAGGTGCGTGCTTTGATGAGGGATTCATTCGAGCCGAAATGAATTCAAACAGAAGTTGAGGAGAGGAGGGACGATAGGTAGCTGTAAGGGTGATGTTTTTCGTCTTCTGGGGCAGCACTTGTCAGATGATGGCCTGCTTTCAAGCGCTTTCAAAGCTGGATGCCAGATGACCCTACACGACCTGGTGACTGCGATATTTGTCGGGTCCAGTTGACTTGCCACTTCTGCCCATTTGTTTAGAGCCCATGCATCACGGCAGACAGACGAAATCCAATCGAACCACTGCCAAACTCACAATTTTGGAGCCTCTCCCGCACCAGGCTCCTGCAAGCCACCGCTTCCTGCTTACAAATCTTACAACAAGCCTCCTCCCCAAACCTGCCGTGAGAACACTGATGCTGGCAAAGAATAGCAAACACTTCCACCCCAAGCCGACGCGGTGAAAATCAAACTCAGGACGCCACGCCCAGTGTATTGCCTCCAGCCTGTGATCTTGGAGCGCGTCGCCACACCACACATGTCATGCATGGGCCAGGTGCTTTGCCTGCACCACACGTCGTTCAATGTCACGAGTCACTGCCAAGGCTCCCTGTGGGCGCCTGCCAGACAAACGAATTCTTGCTTTTCCATTCATTACAGCCTCTAAGCAGCCCAAGCAGAACCACCTGTCTCCACCTTTTCCCGAAGCCACCACCACTGGGGCATCGGTTCCACCTCCTGGCTCAGAACTGCCAGCAGACGCCACACAGCGCCACAGAGTGACTTTTCCCTGGCTCCTTGCAGGCAAGCGAGGCAAGCAGCCAGGAGCCCGGCAACACCTGGGCTCCAGAGTTCCAGAGAAAAGGGCTTCAGGAAGAGGTCCCCTTAGAACGTGGCTCCGACGCGGAGGCATCAGACATCAGCATGAGCTCCAGGCACATGCGGTTTCGGATGACATGCTCACCCTACCTGCTTTACCTACAGCCTGAGGCCTGACGTCAACTGTTTGAAGTCTTCCGCTAGGACTAGGAGCCAGCCCTTGAAGAAAGTCGCATTGCATTGAAGCCCGCACTTACAGCATTCCAAGAACACTGCAGGAGCACATGGCTTTTTGTCGGTGTGGGTTTGCCGATCAGATTGGCGCATAAGAGCTTGTGCTTGGGAGCGAGAGCTACTGCAATCCCTTCATCACCTTCTCGATCACGTGATTGGTCGCTCCTGTTCCGCTCATGTCCACCACGAACGGGGAGCGACGTCAATGGCCATGGTGAGCATGGAGCCGCGCTCTGTTCAAATGACCATTTCGAGCTTCCATCAGGTGCTTGCCATTGTGGACAGGGTTGTGGAGGAGTCCTGGTTGCGGCCTGCACTTTTACAGCAAGTGGGCGATCCATCTATTCACTGATTGCGTCATGATTAAACACACCCCAAACCCTGACCATCTACTGAAAGCCGTGCTGAATGGATCTTCCGGAGAGAGCTCAGCTCTTGGCAGTCTCTGTAGAAGCTCAAGCTGTACTCATATTTTGCACGCTTGGGGAAGGTTGCTTGAGGGGCTTCAGCCAGCAAACACAACTAGTCGCGAGTCGCTGCGCCTCCAGCCACTTGAAAGATTCCTCAAAGGGACAGAGAAGTCGCACGGCATACATATCACTGAATGTAGCTCTCCTGGTGTATGTTATCCCTATATAACCCCGATGGATACACCCTCATGTAGCATGGTAGCATCCAATCATTTTTCCAGCATCTCTTCCCATAGAACCCTAAACTCCCTTACATCTCTTCTTTTTTGCAGCAAGTTTGCCCAAATCTTTCCGAGGTGCGGCTGGCCCAGGCCCGGCCTGAGGCCGCCACGAGGGCAAGGAAACTGGCGGCGCGGGCCGCGAAGTCTTCACCGAGGTGTCCCTGGCGGCATTTGGAATCTTACCATGAATTTATTCATTTGCCGCAGACTCCCATCCCCGCACCTGGGCGGTGAGGATCTCCTGGTAGAGCTCGTGGGCTCGCACCTGGCATATCAAGATGACGTTTGCTTTCACATTTGCATGGGGCACGTCGTGCACCTGTGTCAACTGCATCTAGTGCCACCAAGGTTCTGTGTCCCTGTCGGTGCCTAAGCCAAACTCCAGAGAATAGGCCACATCAAAGCGTCCCCGCAGATCACCGGCCGCCATGGCTTGCTGACTCCAGAAGAATGCCTGAAGAAATGAAGCTTCAAGCATTCAAAAACAAGATTCAAACTACTCGTCCCTGTCCTGAGCAGCATCCTTTGGAGTACCACGGTGCCCGTTGCTGTACGCATGCGACAGGACCTAGGGCACACTATGGTGCAGGTGTACATGACACCCACATGCTCTCAAGACAAATGACGTGGAAAATCTCAGGCTGATGCGTGCATTGCATCAACTTTCCCGACATCTGCTGCCCTGGGACGTCTGCAACTTTGATACTGAACAGTGTTCTTATGGCCACCTGCCTTCGATGGAAATAGAAGGCGCAAATGTCGGGCGCAGCAGCAAAAAGAGGGCGCACGGGTTCAAGGTCAGGCGGAACCTGTTCTGCCAGAGCAGCTCAATGTGGCAGACCTCCGCTGCTAGCCATGCCTGCCGGCAGAGGATGGAGCCCGCTCGGCAAGCAGATAACTCCTTTCGAGGCCATCAGGCATAACAGCTTTTGCAGCTAGGTCATGTTAGATCTACCTCAAGCCCATCAAGTCATGGTGAACTGTTTGAAAGATTTGAGCTCTGACCTCGCCAGCACCTGCCCACTGTTTCGCCAAATCCTCACAGGCCCCATCACCTCGACGACAACCATATCCACCGTAGCACGGACAATCATCACTGATTGTCAAGGAGAATAGCTCCTGAGAGCCGAGTCAGTGACAGTCTCTGCACAAGAGCGCAAGACAAACGTGCTACAAGCTCCTCCCAGGTACCTTGTGAAGGCTGCGCCTTCTTGTGTGCCGCTAGATTCGCCTTAGCTGGCTGGACCATCGTGACCAAACCTCAGCACAACCGAAAAATTGAGGGTTGTGCCTGCAGGCTTCGGTGGTACCGTTCTGGCCGCACCCAGCAATGCAAGAAGTCCCGTGCAGGAACCTGAAGTGCTTGGCAGAACATTCAAAGCTTGTAGTTTCCTGGTCATCTTCGTCATGTTACATCACTCTGTGTATGGAAACAAAATGAAACAAGCTCTATGAACCACAGTCTAAACTCCTAGTATGCCCGTTTTCCCCTATATAACCCCCCTTTAAGGAGTTTAGACCCTGAACCCTAAACCCTACACCCCTTTTGAATCTGGAACTGCAAGATGCCAGAAGCCGCAACTGTGGACAAGCATGCTGGTATTCAGCACAAGCCCGCCAAACCCTGAAGCTGGCCATCCTAACTCCTCGGAACCCTACGCCCCTAAACCCTAAACACCTATAATACCCCCCCTATATTACCCCCCCCCTCTTGAGGAGTTTAGACTATAGCTCATATTTTGACGTGGGCAGTCCAAGTCACCAGCTCTGAGTCTGGGTCCGTGGCAAGCTCGAGGGTGTTGGCCTTTGCCTCGGTGGCCTTGTCGGCCTGGTGTTGACGGTTACGCTCAGAAAATATACTATCATATACTATACTTTAAAAATGTATTAGAATAGATTATAATATACTATAGTGTGCTTTAATAATCTATACTATACTATAATATACTATTATATTGTGGGCATGGTAGATTTCTAGCTCAGGGCGGCTTATTGAATTCTGCAAATACCCTGCCTCGGTAGATGGGTTGGCATCCAGGCGATGGAATGTCCAGTTCACATACATGCCCTCCACAACAGCCGTGTTGCAGGACTTGTCCATCAAAAGTTTTCCTGGGTAAGCAAGACTGACAAACCTTCCTATGCACGATCATTTGCGCCCGCAAAACTGATACTCAAATCTCCGCACAGCGACCCCGCTGATGGTGGAACTCTACGAGATGTGGCACGGCCCCAGGAGGTTGCAGCGCCACTGGCACCGGTGCACCCGCAGGAAATGCATCATAGGTAGTGTGCCACCTGGAGATCACAAGCAAGCCCTAACCAAGCTCATGCGCCTGCACTGAAAGCCCGCAAGAACCTTTCTGTGCCAAGGCACAAGAATGAATACAAGTGACGAAATCCGGCACGCTCTGGCATGGGCTGTACATTATCCCTGGCTTCCAGACCTTCTAGCAGATGGCTTTCTGCGAGGCTGGCATTGAACATCTCGACACCTTACGACCCAGAAATTCCGCATATCACGTGCTATTCCTTGCACACACTATGAAGGAAGCAACCAAGACCGCAGCCACCTCCAGCTACCTGAGCAAGATGATGCAAGCATCTTAAGGCACGTTTGTTGAGGTACCAACTCATCTTGAGGCAATCGAGCCACATCTGCTGCATACACCATGCTAACATTTCGAGCAACTAGGTCCAGGGAAGTCGTGGTCCACCAACCGCGCAGGTTGCAAGGATGGTCAGCTGCCTCGTCATCCTCTGTTTGTACATCTTGGATCATCATCAGGTGCCCGGGCTGCATTGCTGACCACTTGTCCCACATGTACGCTGCATCAGCATGGCCAAGGTCGTGCCCCAGGTCACCTTCAAATAGGCATGTGCAGGCCTGCCTCATTTCCACTACGTCACTACTACTGCCGATGACATTGCTTCTAAGCAGTATCTAGTGGCTGGCAATGCTGCTGCAGGCTGCCAGGTCACTCAAAAGCATAGCCAGAAGCAGCGCACCAACCTCATCGCCAAGGTTCGCAGCACGTCGCTCCAAGGCCACGATAAGACGAACTATGCTGGACTGCGACAGCGTCACTTCTACGAAGGAGCGTCGCCTCAGTGCAGTGCAGTCGTTGTCTACCAAAATGTTGCCGCAAAGCGGGCCCACACCAAGCGGGTCGACTGAGGACCTGACACTTCAGGGGAGCAAATACCGACAGCGTCGTCTGTCTCCGAAGATCGATCCCGGCCACTGCTCTTGTTTACGGCTGTGCGGTTGCTGCCTGCTGACAAAGCCAAGGGCTGGTCAATGGCCGTGCCATCCTCTGGGGAGGAAGACGGTGCCGCTGCAGGATTGGAAGCTGTGACGCTAGCCGGATCCTGGATCGAAAGTACCGCTACGTTGTAAGCAGCGAAAGCTTGCACTGGAGTCAAAGCACCATGCTGGCTGACTGGCACTGTGGCGTTCAACTTTGCATCATGTGCTGGTAACAGCTCACGGTAACGTCGAATTGCTTCCGCGCCACTGGATGACCCTGCAGGAGCTTCAATCGCATCATTGCCATCAGCAAAAGCATGAGCAACCAGCAGCTTGGCATCCTCCCTGCCCAGATCCGCAGCCCGTACGAGATGTGGCCAGGAGTGTTGCCGAGCACTTGTCACATCCGATGCATTGGTAGCCGCAAAGCGTGTCAAATAATACCTGGCCATCTCAGCATCAGCTTCACTGTCTTCATTTGCAGAAGCAGCTGCGGATGCGACAACCATGTTGAGAAGTGGTGCGGCCTGCTTTGTCTGATTTTCCTGCAGATGCTCCACTGCTGCCCTGAGAGCTGACTTGGTGTCCCCTTTCGAGGCAGCTAACGACCGAAGTTGACTTACATTGGCAGCTTTGCGGGCCACGTCTGGCAGGTCCTCTGGGTGAAGCGTGCCTGCTTCCAGCATGTTGGCCGCCTTGGCAAGGTCTGATGCCGATGATCCAGCTGCATCAGAGAGGATATGCTCCAGGAAGGCTCTGTCAGACTTCTGCTTCGAAATGCCCTGCGACAGCGCTTGGGGCATGGGGCCCCAGGACTTTGCGCTTAAATCGTCTACGGTCGAAGCTGCTAGATTTCCCAATGCATTGACCAACGCCTGGTCGCAAAATGCCTCTTTCCGCATCTTTGGGCTGCGTGATAGAAGCGCAGAAGCCTGATTGGGTCCTGGCTCCTCAAGCTTCAGCAGATCAATCATGCCTGTGCGATTCAGGTACGCGGTCGCAAGGATACCCAGGGAATCACCTGCAGCATAAGCCAGGGCATATGCTGCCGCGGCCGGGTCCGGTGGGCCAATATCACGCGGCAATCGCGCTGCATCTGTGGCTGGCTCGTGCGCTGCAACTTCTCCAAGAAAGAGAAGCCTTGGCTCACCTGTCCCATCTTGGGTGAGGTGAGCTGCTCCTACCAATGGAGGATATCCAATGCTAAGGAGAAATCCCAGCAATGAGTAGCAAAGACCACAAGGCGGCGAACTGAGAGCCCCCTCACGTGCAATGCGGATTGCTCTATCCACATTCCTTTCCACGAAGGGTTGCATGGGAGACGGCAGCCCGAACAAGTACAACCAGGCAAGGACTCCAGATGCCTCCTCGGATGAACTTGACACAACAAGCCTGAAATCTAGCTTTGGTAGAGTTGGGCAGAGGAAAGCCTCCAAAAAGCAATCAACAATTACGAAGCTGCATTATGAGGATGTTCCGAGTGCAGCGAAGTGAGTGCTTTGTCCCAGTAGTGTGGGTCTTTCGCCCTGGCTTGGCTGGGTCGCTGCACGAGATCCTCGAGATGCTGCCAGACGGCCGCGGCTGCAGACCCAGAGCCCCCTGGGAGGAGCACCAGGTCAGTCTTTTCCAACTGACACAAAGCTTTCAAAAACTGCGGGGCCTGCTGCGCATGTCTCGCAGAAGCTCACATAAATAAGCAACAGAAGTCCTCAGCTGGATGCTGGCCACGGCTAGCTCCGTCGCTTTGCTGACCATGCTCACAAGTGCTCACTACATGACGAACTTGCAACCAGGTACATTTGAGTATCAACTCTGAAGATGCAGGTTGAGCCCCAAAGATGAAACTCCAAGCAAGGGGGCGGGGGAGCGTCACGCGTTGCAACTTTCAGACTGCAGCGCGTCAGTCATGTGTGTCCTGGTATTTACAATTGGCGTGCCCATTTTCCGTACCGCACTGTTATGTTTAGCAGCCATTCCAGTGCAAAAGCTGGCGATCAGTGGGGCTCTGGCAGTGGCAGTCAGCGAAGTAGCAGTCGCAGCAGCAGGAGCAGTATATGGTATACCCCTTACCTTCTTTGAAAAAGATCCTTGTAACTACATGTTGTGCCCCGTATGCGAAGTGCACCTTGGCCCGCACACTTGTGGCATGTTATTTGCATTTGTTTGTCTTCTTCAAATCGGTTGATGAGAAACATTGAGGCTGAAGGCTGAAAGCCCAAGCTGGGGGAGTGCTTTTTACTATCTAAAACATGCGTGCCCAAGCCTTGGGGCCTACGGAATGACGGGGCCCAGGTTTGACCCTAAGAAGGAGCTCACATTGTCACATTGGGTGGCCGTGATGGAAGCGGGCTTAACTCGATATCCGGTGGGCGAGCTGGTGCCGCCCTCGGATCAGAAAGGACCGAGATTGGTTTTGACGACCACTACTACTACTACTACTACTACTATTACTACTACTACTACTACTACTACTACTGTAAAATGTGCGGCATACAATCTTTCAGCGTCTATTTTCAGTAACGTTCAATATGCAGAGGACGTGCGGATACATGAAGAGTCATGAAGACACACTGCTCTGGGGGGGCCCCAAGAGTACACATAAATTGAAAGCTCCACAACCCTCCCACTTTGAAATGACTACCCCCGACCATCCTTCTGTCCTGAACTGAACCCGCAGGCCGGACACGTGTTCACTCATTCTACGGTGGCAATGGGAAGGGGGATGCCCTGGGGTTCTTGCAGGTCACCGGTACTACCAAAGCTCCAGCCAGTCCGCACTCCTTTTGCCTGCCCTGCTATCTACTCATACTCCTCAAGTTCTCCCAACAACGTCACATACAGTTTCTCAAGCAATTAGACATAATCAAACATCCAGACCTACTATGCTTGCAGCAAGTGCACTACTGATGCTGTTGCTGCTGGCCATATGCGCTGAACGGGTCCGAGCATGGCAGACACCTGCTTCGACCTTGCCAGCTGCTAATGGTGACAAAGCACAGGCACTGGTACTTGTTGGACATGTGCATGCGGCTTGTGAACAGAGCGTGTTTGTCTGGTTTCAGGGGTGTGTTGCGCTGCACACATCGCTGGCGTGGAGCTTCAAGCAATTGCACATCTTTGCATCATGCAAACCTTGACTCGAGCAAGCACTCCTTTTGCAACTTATCCTGCAGGCATCGATGATTCTTTGGCTTCTTGCCGGTACCTGAACCACGCAGACAGATACAAAATTCAGGCTGTTGACTGTATGTTGTGCCTGAGATACAGATTGGCGTGCGCTAAGCTTTTCAGGTAGGTAACCTGCATCTTTGATGAAACTGCAGCAATTGGTTGCATCTCGAACTTTTAGGCTATGACCTCCTCAGATGGCGATCTCTTGAGCCCTCCAATTCCCAGGCGCGTCGAACACCCACCTGCAGAACAAATACCTTAAACGGCCTGAACATCAAGAGCGCGACTGTGTTCCATGGTTCCGGCCTGGCTCTTCCCCCGCCACGCCGCTAGCCGGGCGCTCACACGTCACCTCAGCATGCACAAGAAGAACAAATCTTGCCTCGTTGTTAGGAGAAATGGCAAGCCCCAGGCTCCAGCACAGACCCCACCCAAATCTGTACAAGCATGCTGTGCCTGCGAATGCCAGCGTTCGGGCTTCAGGTTTTCCGTGGCATGCCCCTCGTTGTGCCACTCTTGGGGCAGTTTAACCACTCTGCCTCAAGGAGGCCCCCAAAGCGTTGGTCGCCACCAGCGAAGCCTGCCAAATAGGTTCGAGGCCTGGGCGGCATAACATATCTTGGCCAGGGGAGGGTGCCAGTGTTCTTGCATCTTTTGAGCTTCATGCATTCGGGGCCAGATCCCAATGGCTCCCGCATGCAGTTGCACTAGCACCTGCAATGCTCGCCTGCTACCTGCTGCAAAGTTAAGCTTTATCTCCACGCCTCCAAGTCTGGATCGCCATTGCGGCCGCAGAAGAAATTGCTCCTGATGGCTCATCGAAAGCTACGTACCCGCACAACTTCTTGCATGCCCCATTTTCCCCAGGCTCAGATAAATATGCCGGCAGAGCCACATTGGAATCTCAAACGCATTGCTCCAAAATGGACCAGATACCTTGACAAACGAGCGCACACTTGTTGTGAATGCCTGATGCTTTGACTCACACGTTACGAAGTTGTGAGGTCTAGACTGGGAAGAGTTCTTCTGACGTGATCAAGAAACAGAAGTACTGGGCACGAAACAGGTCCTGTAACAGGCAATGGCGGATGATTCCACTTCAAGAAAAGATGTTGTGCACATGTAGGCAAGTTCGATGCCCTTGGCGGTCCTCGATAACTTGGGAAAGCTTCTCCTTCCAGACGTTGGAGGCATACTCAAAGCCTTTGCAGTGTAGGACAGCAGAGCTAAACGCTTTGTAGTTAGAATGCCGTTTTGAAACCCTCGAGTTTCTGAGCATCACTCTGACAAACTTGACTGCCGGATGCCCTGATGCAACCGACCTGAAGCTGAATTATGCTTTGCGCACAAACCGTCCGTGTACAAAGCGTTCTGGCCTGAGCACAGCAGGCTCTAAGCCTTCGATGTCTAGCTTGAGCAAATAAATCTCCGAGGCCTTCAGCAGGCCTGCCGCAAAATATCTCCGACAGCAATTTGGTGACCAAGCTTGATCTGTTTGAGGTCATCTGTTTGTGCTTGTGAGGCGTCTGCCTCACGCACTTAAGGCGGGCTCAAGCAGCACGCATTTGACTTCATCATCCTGATTCCTTAGTAGACCTCACACTACTTGGAACCGTTTTCGTTTAGCTGCAGCTTGAAGGTTCCTACAACATCATCTATTTGCCATTGGTACAACCATGGAATGCTCGTATCCATTGCACAGCCGAAGCGCACAGCTTGTCAGTAGCTGGTTCTTGACTGGAGCGTACCCTGGTGGATTTTGAATAATGGGAGATGCCATCCAAATGCCAGAAGCACCTCTGGTCTAGTGGTTATGACGTCAGCCTGACACAGGCTCTTGCCCTGAACTTCATCTCGACCCCAACACGTCTCTGCACACCAGCCCGGAATAGTAGGGCTGTAGAAAGTCTTGACATGAAGGGGGCTGCATGAGGCTGAGCCTGGAAATGCCTTCTGCGCTTCTGCAACCTTGATCCAAAGCATAAATCTTCTTCTGATGCGAACGGCAAACGCGGAAGACTCAGCACGCCACAACATCTGAAAGAGTGATTACCTGGAATTGCTGTTTCTGCCAGGCAGCTGCACGGCTTAATCACGAACACGTTGCATGCGTGACAGGCAGAGTGCAAACAAAGTGCCTGAACAGGTTGTTTGACTCGCGTGTCTGCCTCCTTCCACAACAGCCTTTGCGCCAGCTCAGAGAATGTCAGTTTAAGCCCCCGGCCATGGAGACAAATGTGCACATCGAACCAACGATTGATAACAGCTCATTGAGTGGCGCACGTGGCAACCTCGTCGATCGCGAAGTCTTCGTTGACCTAACAACATCAAAGCAACTCCCTGACAAGTCAAAGGGCCTGGGATCTTTTCATAAAAATGAGTCGTCTGCTGCTAAATGGGCTTCCCCACGGTCACTGCCCAAAGCGGCCTTTCCAAGAAGCAAGCGGAAAATGACAAATGCACAAGGCAGCAAAGCCAACGTCCAAGGAGCCACCCTCTAGCTCTCCCAGCCTAGCCTGCAGTGGCAAGAATCCTTCATCCTGAATGCCCAACATGCCCAACTCGTATCAGTAAACTACCAGAAAACGTACTTTCAAGTTTTCTGCAGTGGCTGCTGGCTTCTTCGACTGCTGACTCATGAGGATTTGGCGTTCCAACCATGTTCAGCAGCATTCTTCATCAGCCTTTGCAGGCAAAGTTGCTTTCGCCAGGTCTCACTCTGCGGACATGCTCAGGAAAGAGCATCTACAAAAACAGCGTGAGCAACCTCAGAAACCGGCAGGTTGAAGTTGGATCTAGAGGGCTCCACCTGCGTCTCAAGGACTCAAGTGGAATCTGTGGGCAAATGCTGTCAAGCTTCCCAAACCATACCTGACCACTTTGGCCAAGGCACCGCAACCACCACCACCTAACACTCCAGAGATCGTCAAAACAAGGGGCCAATTGAAGGGCTGCGGCTGTTGGCGCTTCCAGGCTTCCGGCGGCCTCAAGCAGTGCGTTCGCTCATGCTCTGGCCAAACTCAGAGGCCATACCTCGGCCTGAGGGCACCACCTCCGATGCATCGGCACCAGCACAAACCACGCATTTGGCGTGGCTCTTGTTCCTGCTTCGGCTTCGGCTTCCACTGCAGCTACTCTCTTATTACTCTAAGAGTTATTACTATCAGTATGTATTGTTATTTAAGCATATGGCAGTAGAACCGTACCTGGTTTTTGGGCCATACACGCATCCGCAGCAGCCGCCGCAATGGCCAAAGCAGATGGGCAGCAAGAAGGGTAATGGGGAGGGTGGGGCGTAAGTCTACGCAACCGTACCCAAGCACAACGGCAGTAGCATGGGCCGCTGCAGCTGCTGCACGCTCAAGATGCTGTAGTGTGCTTGGCTACATTGCCTGCGTGGCAGCTGTGGCTTTCGCACATGGCGGATTTCATCGCCTTGAAAGTTTCTCAAATGTAGTTATGTTGGAAAAACAGCAGACTACCGTCACAGGCTCACCCCCGAACTTGCAATCTCACCATTAAATCATGAATACGACGACCACGACGACGACCACGACGACGACGACGACGACGACGACGACGAGGAGGACGAGAACGTATATACGAGCACCAGAGCATCCATGCCAAAACCAATAATAACGTCCGTGTTCGAATTGCGTAGGAGCACGAGAGCATCCATGCAGCAGGTAGACGTCGTCGCCCT